TCGCATCATACGATAGCAATCAGATTATTCTGAATTATTTAAAGAAAACACGAAACTAACTCAATTGAGCTGAACTCTCCAGGCTTACTCCACAAAAATAAAAAACGGATTCAACAGAAATTCACGACAAAACTCACCGAATGGAACATTATTTCGTCGTTCTGCAGACAACATCAATTTATTTCCATCATCTTGACTGTTCAAACTCAAATTCGAATATTCACCAAATATGTCAAAACGAATTGATGATTTTTTGTCGTTCAACCAATTCAGCCATTCCGCATGCAAACGTTCCAATTCATAAACACTTTGCAGTGAATGTTTCACTGCTAACTTAACATTCAGTATTTATTATAACCGCACAATTATAATCATTATGGCTATTCCCTCAAATGAAATTTCAACGAATGGATATACCGCATCCAGCGAGGAATAATAATAATAATAATACCTTTCTAACAAAAATGCCGAAAACACTTTTCGGAGTGATAAAAGGATGCGTGCGATCGCTACGTTTCAACTGTTGCAACAAGTGGTCACGCCGAATCAGCACCTCAACATCGCCTCTGTGTTCATCGACCCTACGAATTGTATTACGATCATAACGGTTAAGACAATTTTAAAAAGAGTAGCAATAAACATTTAACAATCTGATAAACAGTTGCATTTATGTAATACCAATCGATGACAACGTCATTTTATGACGAAAGTAACAGTGAAGGTAACAAACTTTTTCAAGAAGTTTTTGTAGAGATTTGGTGATATTTTCTCTAAGGGCTTTTCGATAATTTGACACATTTCATTGAAACTCAAATTAACGGCCGATATGAGCGAATAAAGGATATTCGATAAATCGCAGAGTTGTTTGGTTGCGAATGCATTTTGACGATGCTCGCTATCAATGGCTCGCATCAGTAAATACACTGCTAACTGAAATTGTCGTATTTTATTCTATATTTTTACGTAAATTCTGTTTCAATTAATTAATGCATCTGAATAATCCACCAAACAGTTATCACAATATTCATCTAATGCTGAATCAAAAATAGTCCGAGCTTGGCTTGTAATCAACGTTATCCTTTATCATTCACACATATTATCAATATCCGATTATTGCCTCACCACCCTCATTGAACTATGGTCTTACTGTGATCACCTGTACTTATCACTCTAGGATTGTTGTTTTCAAAAGAGAATTAAAAGTTGAGTATGTTTCGTTCCAAGGTTTGACTTTTGATAGCGTTTCTTTTGATTCCATTGAATCACTATTACATCACGACTTATTCATGATGTAGTGTACATTTATTCATGTACTAATCATTACTTCAAATC